TTACCAATTTAATATGAGCTACACAATTCCTCCTGTAAGCACTCATCCTTCTTTTATCCCCATTAGTGGTGTGGTGGTCGGATAGAATCGAGATGTTTCTAAACCCATCAATCTAAAAGCTTTTTTAAAGAGTAATGCCCTTCTACCATCTATTAAGATGCAATGTACTTTATATCCAAACATGATGACGAAATGATCAAGGCATCATCAATGGAATGTGTTATGCTAGTAGAGCCTTTAGGGGTAAAGATTATGGACTCTTGTCATGGCATCATTACTTATCTATAGTGAGGATCATATTAATTTTGACTTCTTTCTCGTAGGACCTATCCTAACTAGATTCTTCTTATAGGATAATAGTTATTTCTAAGGGGTCATCTTGGTAGTGTTTCGATTCATAATTGTGATGATTGGGATCATCTTTTAAGAATTTATTAAGATATCCTTTAGCTATCAACCTCTCAATTTCTTATTTCAAGGATTATCATTCTTTGATGTTATATCTATGATCTCGATGATAAAGGTAGTATTTCTTTTGGCTCTTTAGATGAGAGGGACCCTTCATTAGTGAAGGTGATTTACAAATGTTTATCTCTAAATGGTTATGAATACTTCTATTTAGAGCTCATTTAAGAGAGTGGTTTGGAATTCTAAAAACATAAAAAGACTATAGAGAAGCCCCTTCAAAATCTTTTTAAGCCGACGACAAATAGATGGTGATTTTTCTTTTTTGACTTACCAACTGGCCTCTAAAATTAAGGATGCATCTCTCTGAAAGCTATTGTTTCTTCTACCCTAATGTGGCTTTCAAGTAGTTTTTTTACCTAGTATAGGTTTTGATGGAGAAAATTATAGATCTTTTTTCATAAACTAGTATCACTAACCCATTTGCTAAAGGCCTTTATGGCTACTGATTCCAACAAACTATTTATTTTTAGCATCTTTTTATAGAATCAAAAAAGATACATCTAGGTGTTTTCTCTTTCTTATTATGTAATGTAGGAAAAGATCGAATTTGAATTCCTTTTGATCTTAGAGAACTAGGCTACTAGCTTAAGATTGAAGTCCTTAAAATTTAGGATAGACTTAGGATTCAAATTGCTATATCACTTTTTAGTAATATCTTAAAAGATAGTAGAAAGCACCTTGTATATGGCATATGTCTCTTCTAACATAAGTTCGGGTGTTATCCTCATAATTTGCACACATTCTCTAGGATTAATAAAACCATCATATGTATCCAAATTCATTTTACTATAGATGAATTCTTTGAAGAGCTTAGAATTGAAGATTCGTGGAGCTAAGAGAGATACTTGGAACTTATGTTTATGATGGTCTAAGTGTGAACAAATGGAGACCTCGAAGCTTCATTTATACACGATGGCACTCGGAGTTATGCGCTTACACATGATATTTTCAATGAAGAGAAGCTGCGGTGATGCTTTTCTCAATGTTTTCTACCGAGCATTGTGTTTTTTTAGTATCATGGTAGCACTTGAATGTTTTTTTTTCTTTTTCTTTCTACGATACCATTAAGTTACTAGCTCCTTTTATATAAAATGTGCATGATTTCTTTAGGGTTCGAAGATGTATAAGGATCGTTTCTTATTTAGTAAGTGTGGGCCTTATTGATTAGTAATGAGAGAAGATAAACTTTTTTTACATGAGGTATAACACATGATAGTGTTGGAGCATGCGAAGGTGGACGACATAGAGGTGTTTGAGACAAGGAAGCAAGCACTTTTATTTGTACTATTGTAGTTAGAAATGTTCATAGGTCGGGCACTTAGACTAACGAAGTTTTGGAGGGGTAGTACGACCGGAGATTTTCACTTGTTCTCGCCATGTGTGAACCTAAAGGTAATATGGAGAATAACGATAGAGATAAGAAAAAAACTAGCTTTTTATGTAGTTCTCCATAAATGGCATTAAATAATGAGTCGTTGATCAATTTTTCTAGTAAAATTAAGAAATATGGCACGCACAAGCGATAATAGTGGTATAATGATCGTAAAGAGTGAGGAAAGTCATTTTTGCATAATGTACCACTAAAACAAGTTTTTTAATTGGTGAAGGATCCACTAACAATCAAGTTAGTAGTTGAAAGATGGTGAATTAGCTTAAAGAGACTCTTTTGTGTAAGTATTTAACTCGTTTATATGTGATAAGTATAAAAAAGGAATATACATGATATAGAACCTATATTGAGAGCATTTTTTGTAACTTGTTATTTTGTTATGGTTTAGGCCAACTTTCATGGTAGAAAAGGCAAGAGTGCCTATTTTTCTTCGAGTTAGCGAGATAACCCAATAAGTGTTGGTGTTTTACTATCATTATATTTGATATGTGATGACATTAATGCAATTATGATGATCGATGATCCGATTGATGTCATTATTGGAGAATCTTCATTAAATGCTTTGTCTCCACTAATGATGGTGAAAATAACAATGCTTTTCTTTTTCGAGCCAAAGCATCTTAGGATGTGAAGATTCCTAAGTTTTTTCTAAGAGTGCTTATAAGGAATAGTCATCATTTAGGGGTTTAAGCCCATTTGATGCATTGGTATCCTCCGATGAGTTATGAACCCGAGTTAGGTTTAGAATTGGGTGTCTATGTGCTTATTGTATTAGACTACTACATTAAGATTAGGCTTCCCTCACTTTTAATCAAATCTCAATTCAATCATGAGGTTTTTCTCTTTTTTTATTGAGGAATAAAAATTAAGATAAATGACATATTTGTTCTCAACTATCACATAATTAATGAATCTCTTATCTATCGAATTGATATATTGGTAATTTACATAATTTTTATGTCCTTTTACATTAAACTTACTAATACTTATTATATTATATTAAGGTAAATAAGAACAAGTTAATGATTTTATGTTCTTATAGAAAAAATGCCAAATCATAGTGAATAAACCCAAACAAAAATTTATAAGAAGCTAAAGCCACTAAGGAAGCAAAGAAGTCGGACGATCATATTACCTACAAAACGAAAAAACTACCGGCCGTGTGAAATAAAGAAGGAAACCGTATAGATGCTCAGCAAAAAAGGCACATCAACAATAACAATCAACACGACTTGAGCAAGAGAAGTGATACGCCCATGTGAGTAAAGGTTAAGATGCCTTCCAAAGAGAAGGAAAAGACACGTGGGCAAAAACTAAATGACATGGGATGAAGAGCAAATTAGGCATGGTTGTGTGCCACCGACTCTGCAAGGCTCCAAACCATGTAAAAAAAAAAGAGCAAGCTGTGTGGTTCGGCCAAACAAGCCATGGGGCTATCTAAGATAGCCATGTGTATGTTGTAACCTTACTTTTGGTTATAAATAAAAAAAAGTTAGGGTTTATTCTTAGGATTTTACCCTTCTCGTAGCCACCATAGATAGAAGTGCTCTCTTGTAAGCAAACTATGCATCACTAAAAATCTCTTGGTTGAAGGGAAAGTTGAAGCTTTTAATGTAATTCATTATGAGATCTAACTGAGTTTTATCTCTAATCCTATTCTTTTTAGTATTTTATATTTTTTTTATGTTATTTGAATATGATTGTAAAGTTGATTGATTGGAATGCATGCTAGTTAGTTAATCATTATATTATATTACTAGCTAAGTATTCAACTTCGTAATTGCTTGTCTAAACTTGTTTATGGTAGCAACTAGGGGTTAATGATTATAAATGAGTTTTCATTTAATCTCTTGAAAAACATAAAATTAGATTAAATTCTTGTAGCATCTAAGAGGATTGTTTAGCTCCACCTATCTTTCTATCATTTAAAGATACTTGTTAGATTAAATCTAGCTAGCGCCTCTACTAAGTTGTTCAATAATTAGATATTAATCAAATAGCATCTATTTAATTAACAAATCACTAAGAAAAGATTGAGGATAACATATATATTGTTATCTTACGATGGATATTCGTAATAAAATGAATTAATGTGTGAATCGATGATTAATGATTGAACCAAAATTAGAGACCTACCTTCAAACAAGGCTTTCACCATTATTGTCATCTCTATATTTAATTTTGTTTACCTTTACTACTCTTAATAAGTCAAGAACCCCAATTTTCCTTTACCCTTTACTTTACTTTGAAACAATAAAAGATAAAGGACATTGATTGAACCATCTTTCAATAGGATCGACCTTGACTTACCCTAACTATAGTTTTGTAAATGGGTCCGAGTGAAGAAAAAGAAATATATGAATTTGTCGACGGAGCGATACGCCATCACAAACATTAACCAATTAATCTCTTGATGCAAATTTAAGACAAAAAAGTCATTTAAGACAAATAGGTTCTTAATTTTTACAATTTTAAATATAGAAATTTTAAGATGAGGGTTGATTAGATGAAAGTGTTGTTTTTTTTTTAGGACTTATAATTTAAAAAAAAAGGGGTCATCTTAATTGAAAAAAAAAAAAAAAAAAAAAAAAAAAAAAGGGGGTCATACGTCGTTTCCTATAAGCTATGCATCATTGACATAAAAAGATCCTAGCTCACCATTCTATTTATTTTCAACCCTGAGCAAAATTTTTCTCTCGCCCTTGTACATAGCCATGACTCTCAAAGGCTAAAGCCCTCCAAATCACGTCTATTAACTATCCATTTTGAAGCCAACACGTATATTTAAAACAAAATCAAAAGCATCATATCGATAATGGTGACAATCTAAACTCTATTACTACGAAGTTGCATATTATGAGCTAATTATAAAAATGATTTGATAATCTAATTTGCAGTTATTTTTTGTTTAAAAGTGCTAATAGTTATTAAGTATACTCATTCTACTACAACATGATAACTACACTAATGTATCGCAATGTCTTTCAATTGAAATATACTAGTTAAGTTTTGGTTATTTTAAGTTTCTAGCTCGCCAACAATATTTCCCATGCGGTTTTATTTGTCTCTTAATTAAGTATATTTGTCAATTTATATCCCAAAGTATGTTTATTGAAGGATCTTTTTCATCATTATTGTTGAGAGCAACACAAGAAAGGGTAGGACCGCGCCGCATTGACTTAAAACAGCCACATTATATGTACCATCGACAAAACTCTGTCTTTCATTTTCCTTTAAAAACTAAAGGCAAGAACGTAGCACACAAAGCAGTCAGGCTTTTCAATCATGTCATGTTTTCGAATTTAGATCCAACCAGAACGTTCACCCTCTTCCAAACTTTCTACCTTGTTCTCATTAGCGTTTTTCTACTCGCTAAATATTCCCAACATTCCCATGTCATTATCCTTCGTAATTTTCTAAAAAAGGAAATTTAATTTATATTATTTATTTTGATTAGAAGAACAGTTTTGAATTAGAATCCTCCATAATACTGATAGTTAAAACTATAATTCATTAACTTTTATTAATTAATTAACTGTTGATTGGGATGTGTCAGTTGTACCTTCATATATATTACATCATGAAAATGACAATGCTAATTCTCTTTGTATATTCCTTGATCTCTGTTCTTTCCAAGTGATCACCAAAAAAACTTCAATAATTTACGTACACTAGCTAGTATGTGAAAAAAAAAAACCCTAACTAGTACGGTCCCATACAGTCTACAGACATTTCAACATGAATTATATATATACTCTTTTTAGGACTCCAATCCAAATTTCTGTGCACCCGGGTTGTGATGGTTACCGTCAACTCTCTTGTTTATTATAATTTTTTAATATTTATAAATAATGAAATATTTTAAATTCAATTTTTGCATGAATGAAAATTAAAATTATCAATTTTTGAATTAAACAAATATCAAAATACATTTAATTTTTAATATTAAATTATTTTTTAAGACAAAACAGTTCAAATATGATACCACTCTCGTTCTTATATACGTACGCAATTCACCGGTCACTTTATCATCATGACGTATTATTTATATATACCTGCCATACCACTAAACAACCGACCTCATGTCACATTGGACTCCCTAAATTTGAAAAGAAAACAAGTAATGCAAGGGGTAGGTTATTTTCAAGATTCAAGAGGTTACGTTTTATTTTCGTAGACTAATTTAGGTATTAGAATTTAAATTTTAAATCAGATTGTAAGAAATACGACGATTCTTGTAAATCCTTTAGGTTCGGTGTTGATAACTTTTTCTTTCACTGAAGTTAATAATTGGAGTGGGCATAAGCCGATCCAAGGATTGAAAAAGAAAATAGAAAGATCGAGAGAAGAGGAGAAGGGAAGCATGCAAAAAATGATCAGTATAAAATAGTATAGTTTTGGGTATTGGACCCTAAAATTACGTAAAGAACCACAAGATCAACATATACAGTGTGCTGTGCTGGTTTGTTCGATCAAAGAAGTGCCCAACACTACAGTAGCAATTAAGGAACGGCCGCGATGATGGTGGCACAGTAAAGGCTAAGCTGGTTTAGCGGACCCTACGAAGTAAGCAACACCTAATTATGATTCTTAACAAAAAAAAATTTGTCTCTATTCAATTACATAAGAAGCACCAAAAAGCCACCTAATATTAGCATTGTTTAAGAAATTAGTCAAGCCGGCCAAAGATGGATTATTAGTATTATTATTCTTGTTGTTGTTTATTACTGTACTAAATATTTTATTTTAGTCAGAATTTATGCTCTACAATCAACTAATAGACATTAAACACATAACCCAAGAGCTTGTAGTTTATTAATAGTTGTCTTTTACAAAATATCACATGTTTAAATTTTAACGGACTAATTCTCTTAAGAGTTTTGAATGCGTATCTTAAAAAAAAAAATATGTACAAAGTAATACCATGGAAATTTAATTCAAGTTAATGTTGAATTCATATTAGGATCCTTGATGTGTATGTATATCTCTCCAATTGTATTTTTGTACTTAACAGGGTACTCAAGTTCTTAAACTCTCTTTGATTATAGTTGACCAACTAATGGACAACCACAGATGTCCTTAATTTGGGACTAATATCTATTTTTCTATTTATGTCCGTAAATTTTTATTCTTCATAGGGAAAGAATTCAACAAAATAATTAGAAAAAAAGAAGGAAGAAACATATATAAATTAATAGTCCAATCCAAACTACTATCTAATAGTCCCATCCAAACTTTTCATTAGATTAGCTGCAAATTAAGTAACTTTTAGTGGAAGATTTGCGTATGAATGCATGGCAAGTGCAACGAAAGCAATTATACAAGAGGAAGAAAAACCATTTGAGAGAGATAGACAAACCAAGTGTCCAACTACAGAAATGACAAGGGAAATTGTAGTTTCTACCAAGCAAAAAAGTGCATTCATGAACATGTATTTGACACTGAAATATCATCTACAGGCAGCATGGGAAAGCCAGTCAGTCATTCTCATGCAATAATAAGTACTTCAATGCAATCCAATATGGTGAAAAATCACATAATAATATAAAATTTAGCTGTCAATCTTCTCCTTCATATCTATTCATTGGACCTACTTGAGGATGCTCCATTATCCATTTGAGATTTGCACTCACACTCTCTCTCTCTCTCTCTCTCTCTCTCTCTCTGCACAGAAGGGTGGGATTTAAGTTTTTTGGTTAAGTACTACAACTACAACATGGAAATTAATAAGTTATTTGATTCTTATTTCATTGATATTTGTGTTCACTTTGGAAGAATCAACTTCCATGATACAGTGAATTTTTCTGTCCATTTCATTAATTTATGGTTATGCCATTTTAATATGGAACATAGTACTGGTGAATCAGCTACCTTTTGCAGGTTTCTTGCTTGTAGTTTAATCAAAATATTTTTTGGAGAGACTTAAAGCTAATTAATGGCTTTTGCATCATAAATGGAGTTTGTTAGGAACTCCACAAACCAGACATAATGATTTTAGCTATGAAAGAATGTGATCCCTTTTTGAGCAGCAGTGGCATTTAATGGAATTTTGGTCCCCCATCCGTCTTTCCTTTCCCTATATATATATATATATATATTATCTGTCCCTAAATATACTAATTAATAATTGGTGAGAATTTGATTCTCTGGCACATATTTTTTTTGTCAACTATGACTAAGAAACTTTTGCTAATGCGGGTACGGAACAACATTTTGAAAACTTGATTGGACGATAAAATTATAGCAGAATCGGATCAATATTGGTTTTGCTCTTGTTTACGTACACTGATTCTTGAAACCGACGGAACAGAATGACCATGGAACCACAAAATTAAACAATAAAAAGGATTCTAATTATCTTCTTTAAATTTTTGCTGACACAACTGAATAGTTTAGGGAGACGAACCAAAATGGTATGCTAAAGAATAAGATCGAAAGTGATTATATATGTTGGTTAATTAAGAACACTTCAAATATGGGCGTTGGAAGAAAAGTAATTACAGTGAGGTTGTTAAAATGTATCAACTCACTCTCCATCTCCACTTCCTCTCAAATGGTGGCTGGCTCAACTAATTAATTACTTCTTTCTTTTCAATATAGGTGACTAATCTTATCTCTCCATAAAATGTTAGTGGTTGTACAATGAAACCCTAGCTAATATGTATCAACAAAGGGAATTTTTTTTTACTATCAACCGCAATTGAAAGAACTTCCTAACCTTAATGCATTGAAGCATAATAAGGGCCAATCATTGAAAGTTTAAACTTAACACTTAAGACTTAACAGTGCTGTGTGTGGTTAGGGGGAACCGAAAAAAAAAAAGCATGAAAGAGGATATATATATATATATATATATGCAAACCCACGAACTATTGAATGTTGTCCTCTGTGGGTTTAATGATAGATATTCAAGTCGTATCGATTTTTAATAAAAATATTCTTATAATTTTAATAATTAAGTCCTTACCGTTCGGTTCGTTAGCCAATAAGAGCCCTTCCGTTAATAATCAACTCAATGTTCGTATTGACTTTTAAAAAGAAGGAGAGACATGACTCGGCTTTCAATTGGTTCCAATTTAATAATAATAATTAAAAATTCAAAAATATATATTAAAATTCAACAAAAAAATTGTTAAATTTTTTGTTTTTTTAACCAACTTCTTATGTATTTAGTCCTAGAAATTACTTTCAAATTGTTTTTATTTACATTAGAATTTTTTTTTCCCTTAGAGAATGGGTATATGCAAAATTTATAGGGGTTCATTTATGTAAGGGCTCGTCTATTTTTTTATACAAGTTTGTAGTCGTTAGAGGTTAGCCAAAATTTCAATTTTTACCTCTTTTTCCTCTTAGAGTATGGTTATAAGCCTTTAACTAATCTAAACCTCAAATTACTCAACCAATTTATCCTAATAAAATAAATTTATTCAAATATACATAGGTTCATGACACAATAAGATCAAATTTTAGTTTGCACATGCATACAATCCAACCTACCTCAAGTAAAACGTGATGGAGGTGATATTGATCTCCCCACTCATGATCGACTTCTTATCCGGATATTTGCATAGACCAATCATTTTAAGGTTTCCTAGCTTCCTCAATGCTAGGTGGCAACTACTTTTTTAATTCCATATCCTTTCTCCGAAGAGCCCATCATATTCACCTTAAAACCCATTAACATCGCCCCTCCCTCTCGCAATAGTTTGACGACTCCATCGAGAACATGCCATACTAAGGTCTATCTTTGAATGCATATGTTAAAAATCTGTGATTGTATGATTATGTTTAAGTGCCTATGTGTTATGAGAGAATGATTTCTTTTGAATTATTTGTTTATTTATATCTATTGTGGAAATGTGTTTGTTTATGTGTGTGATGTTTGCATTATTTTTCTTTTTATGGCTTTTTAGTTGTTTGATTTTTTAGTCTTTAGTTTTATATTTGAAACTGGATATGGAGTTGTGCTCTATACATATCATCGCATCCGTATAATTATAAATTGCATACGTTTTGCCTCGGGTTTTAGGGAGTTAGTAGTGGTGTTTCGATGGGTTTTATTCGAGTAAATACTCATAAAAAATCAAGTCTTCTTGCTAGCTACCTCCCTATAATGGATAATAAATAGGTGTCACGATTGTTAATGTTGTCATGGTTAGTCCTAAATGAATGGTTAAGCTTTATTGGGCCAAAAGATATCTTTTTAAGACTTAGATAGAACCTACCTATTTATATAGTGGCTAGAACCAAACCTTAGGACCATCCTTCCTTATTAGGAATAATGGACAAGTTGACTTGTTTGAAAACTTGACTAAGATAACTTGATCATGATACTTCGGGATGGGTGATAAAAGAGTTCAAACATAATTTACGCTAGCGATAATTTATGAAGCTAAATCCGAGGTCCTTCAACGATTGAAAGGAGACTATCTTCAAGATGGGTTTCAAAGTAACTTTCGGACCCTAACTTGCTTTTAGCCAATAATCAATGACGCCAATAAACTCTTTGGATGTTAGGAGTTCCTAACTTCAAAAAATAAATAAAGGTTCAAGTACAAGTATGAAAATTTGAACGTACTACTAGAGATGCATGTCCAAAAACCTATGCTCGAAAGCTCTCATCCCTTTATGGAACCCCTTATACTAATGTTTCACCATTAGAGACATTAACATGTCTCTTACTCTAGAAGAGTACTATCGGTTGCTATAGATGCCAAATCATTATATCAAATCTATCTTTATTATCAACATGGTGAAGTAGTTAGAAGGGTTCAATACTAGCTTAACAATGACATGAGTTGAGCACGAGTTAAAGGTGCAATTGATGAGTGGCACTAAGAACCCTTGCTTGATATGTTCAAAAGAAGCTTGAAATATCCAAGACTAGCTTAAAGAAATTACGAGTTTTTGCTTTATGCATCTTTTGTTTGATCATATTTTCATCCACTTGCTAAGGTAGTCAATTTAGGTGTGGTCAATTTCTTCATCAAAATAAAAAAAAAAACTTAATTAATTCCACTTCTATTATTTTTGCAAAACCATTCTATTATTGAATCACTTTCAAAGAATTAGGAAGAGTGGAATGAGGTATTGTACGTAATTATTATATATGTGGATTATTTATCATATGGAAGCACACAAATCAATTTTTAAATCCATCCGGTAAAAGGCCGAGAACCTCCGAAAAAGTTTGGTATTGTGACATGGATGACTACTCTAAATAATAATTAGTTACCTTACTTTTTGAGCTATCAAATGCCTCTTTCGTATGAAAAATCGTGTGAATGAACTAAGCCTCATACCCGGTTTATTGTGAGACACATCCTTAGGCCCTTTTTGTTGGATCGACTAGATATGTTAGCTATGCATCTTGTATGGTATCTAGGAAATTAGGCTACAAACAATACATTCTACGAACAACTAGTCTAGCGAGACTTTGAGGATGTCTTAAAAAGTGATGCTTCACTCAAATGTATAAAATACCTCAAAAAAGACTAGCTAATACGTAGAATAGTGGGTGATAAGATAAATAATCGAGAGATAGCCACAACCAAAGCCTATCCATCATGGTTGTTTGTAAAAGTGAAATATTTTACAAGTCAAACTCAAGTTGAAGGAATGTCATCATCCAACCTCGCAAGCTAATCAAGAAATGGCAATTCCTTCGAGTTTGATAATCCACAAATGCCACTAAAAGCTAGTTGATTTTTATCTAAAAAGAAAAAAGAAAAAAGAGTGGAAGATGAGTCAAAGAAAACTCTTTTAGAAAATAATGTGATGAAAAGAGAGCTTGAGCAATTTAGAATCGAGAAACAAAATTTGCTATATGACATAGCCAAATCTAAAAAAAAAAGAAAAGAATCGGTTAATGTTATAGCTTAACAATTAGATAGGGATATATAAGACATGACCTTTGAGGAAGAGGGTTGGAAAAAATCATGCTATCAAACTCTAGATGAATTGGTAAAAAAAACTATTGACGTTAGTAATTTGAAGTCCCAAAACAAGTAAGCCATTCATGAACTAAACATTTTCCAAAAAGAAAAAGATGAGCTCTAACAATAAAAGGACACTTTGAAAGAAATATTAAAGGGAACGCTCAAAGACTTTGATGAAGTCAAAGAACAATTTAGAAGCTTTTATGAAATTAATGAGCAACTTATTATCATCGAGTAAAAAGATAGCCAAGCTAGAAAAAAAGAAGAATTATGATGTTAGAAGATTACCAAAGACAATCCATGTGCTTGGTAAGCATAAAAACATCATTTGGTCGAAGAGAGTGAAAAACACAAACTTAACTTAGAGAAGCTAGAAGTTTAGATTATAGAAGTGACCAAAGATGCCAAAGCTTTATGCAACATGAAATAATGCATCAATAAAGGAGAGAAGAATTATAGAGCTGAGCATTTACATTGTACATGAGGCAATTTGATTATCTACTGCGAGAAAAAGCTTGACATGGAAAAGTCCTTGGGATTTGAAGATTTAGTATAGCAAAGTTATTGTATCAAGCAAAATTATGTATTTTTCATTCCTAGTTTGTGAGGAACTTTTTCATGAACAAATTAAACTTTATGCATTTTTTAATTTCAATCAATGATGACTTCAGTACTTCCTCTCAAAAAAATGATGAATATTGTTAAATAATGATGTGATGAATGGCTTTGAAGATGGAACAAATGTATCAAGCCAAGCAACGAATCCCTCAATGCATGTCGATAACTTATCTATAAAAATATCTACAAAGGCCCTAACCTTTCTCAATATAGTGGATCTTGATATGATTTGAAAGTGTATTATGATGCTTGATTGTTACTTTAAAATGAAGATGAAAATGAATTCTTCCTAAATTCAAATCATCCAAAAAGGTTACCGATGTGGCATCACGTCTCTAAACCCGTTACAAGCAATCTCATTGATGAAAGATATATTAAAAAAAAAAAAAGTTCTTTTGTCATCCTCTATAGATGACTACTCGTATCCGAGTTTCGAGTATCTTTATTGTTATCAATATGTTATTTATATTGTTGTTTTTCGTTATTTCCCTGTTTATATAGAAGTACAAGTCGTCCTACTAAAATCATACTTTCTTTGGAAATCTACAAAATAAAGTTGAGAGAAAAAAAAACTCAACTCAAACAAAGCCATCGAAAGAGTAAAATGCTTAGAAACGAGAGATGTTTGGGCTAATTGTTTTAGTTAAGCAAAGTCTGCATGCCCATACACTTATTGAAATGCCTCTAAATTGAGAAATGGATCAATCATCTATTACCCCCGAGTTATTTACTCGTTATGTGAAGTTTTAATACTCTAATGGGTTAATCTTATGAATCAAAATTGTCAATGGCTTCCTATTTATATGAATGAAGCCAATAGAGGCTTCCCATTTTTATTAATTAAAGTTGTTGGCGAGTTCCCACTTGTGTGAACAAAGTCACCTATGGCTTCCTAATTTCATGAATCGAAGTTGTCGATCGCTTTTCATTTATACGGATGAAGTCATCGGTGGGCTCTCAATTATGTGAATTGAAATTTTTGATGATTTATTGTTTATATCAATAAGGACTTGTGATCTCTAAAGGCTTTCCTATTTACCAATATAGATTTGCGGTTGCTACAGATTAGCTAAAATTTCAATTTCTACCCTCTTTTCCCCTTAGAGTATGGATATAAGCCTTTCATCGGTCTAAATCCCAAATTACTTGATCAATTTATCTCGATAAAATAAACTCACTCAAGTAGGCATAGGTTTATAATACATAAGATCAAACTTTAGTTTTTACATGCATACAATGCGACTCTATCTCGAGTGACGGTGATGTTGATCTTCCCCACTCGTAATTGATTCCTTACCTAGATATTTACGTAAAATAGTCATTTTAGGATTTTCTATATCCTTTGATGCTAGGTGGAGACTTCTTTCTTAATTCCATATCCTTTCCTCGTAGAACCCATCACATTCGCCTTAAAACCTACCAACGTCACCCTCCACAACAATCATCTTAATTCATATTTGCATCATTGGGTAATAATTGTTCGAATATTCAATCAATTCGTCAAATCTTTTTTTTTTCATTTTCTCATACCTATTTACCGGGGCCTTATACGCTACCTCTTAGGCTATCAAAAAGCCCTAGATGGCCTTCACCTTTTAAGCCATGTCATTAAATCGACAATATTGGTTACGTCTATTACTTAGGCCAACCGTTATAATACTACATGACAGAACATTTAGCAAGATACATAACTAGTTAATTCCTAAAAATCCTAAAACAAAGAACATGGTATAACTATAGAGAATTCTCAAGTCTAAAATTTATTAATGTATAAAAAACTAATGGCCAAAGCCCTAAAGTAGTTTAAATAGTCTTCTCTAAACTCACAAGGGGGAAATTGAAAAAAAATAAATTATTTTTAAATCCAAAAATAATCAAAACCTAAATAGAAATAAGAAAAAAACAAAAATAAAAAAGCTATAATTCCTAAACAATAACAATCTATGCCTATTTGGGAGTTTGGATGGCAAAACCCCCAAAAATGGGGTTTTGAAATGTACTTTAACTTAAAAAACAACCTAGAAAAACCTTCGGTGCTCTTTCATAGTATGGTCTCGAAATAAGCTTTATGGATCGATATAAATTACGTTAATCAAACACTTAAATAAAAAATTATAATCATTTAAAAGACTAGTGCACACTTATCCCGTAATATGTCTTATTGGGCTTGTGTTTGTCAATATGGTCGATGAAATCATTTGCTAATTGTTCCATATTAGATAATTAAATATTTTACTTTATTTCAAAATCTTTAGTAGAAAGCCTTTAGGATTTAAAAATAGTTAAATAGTCCAAACATCTCCTAAACTTCAAGTCATTTAAAAATTAATTTCTCAATTTTTAGTTTTAGATTGGACCTCCCTCTAATTATTTTTCATTTGAAATTGGATCCTTTTATTGATTTTCTATCAATTATAACGATGCAAATGCACGTGATTTGCACATAATTGATTTTTTTTTTTAACTTTTTCAATAACTAAAAATGTGTTAAAACTTATTAATGTTTTTTTTCCTCCAATATTTATTTTTTTCTTTCTAAAATATTTTTAATTGCTTAATTTTTAGCATTTAAGAGGATATAAATAAGTTTTACAAGGAAAATTAAAGCATCCATAAACTTTGACATATTTTAACTACCGATAAATTATACTTACTCATTAAAATTGATGAAAACTTAATAGCAAAATTTAATTTCAGTTGAAAAATAAGTAGAAAGATGTTTAATAGAAAATTAAAAGTTAAATAACATATTATAAAATGATTTAAAGTCTGAAAGAAGTTTTAACCGTTGGTCTTTTAAAAATATATATTAAAAAAAAAAATTGGCATTGCAAACAATGAGATGGGAAATTGAAATACAGAAAAGGACATGAAAGAGTTGCGCAAAGTTAGCACAGTTGAGAGGAAGGAAGGAATCCATCAAGTGGAGGCAGGAGCTTCATTGTCTGCCAAGAGCAAACCCATCTGGTTGGAGAGTGAAGACACGGGCATAGGATATGATCATACATGCTAATTTTAATGGATGGTTATTTCTGATGAAATGTTGCCATCATCTCCAATCCCATCACACAAAGAGTCCTTGCAGTCAGGGCGCTGAAGTCAATGCCACACACATATATATATAACTATCCTTTCCTTTCCACATTTTGATTCCAAGAAAAAACTTGCCACTGCTGCATGCCACTACAGATGCTGTGCCCAAAACTTCCAAATACAACCAATACCCTTCCAATCTTTTATAATCCCAAAACCGTTGGGCGTATATTTTCTCCCTACCCATGCCCCATTGGCCAATCACCCACCAAAAAAGTATAAAAATTTTGATTTGAGTGAAAATAGGCAAACCTTAGATAGAAAAAAGATATATATCTTTGCCTTCAGTACAACAACAACACACACACAAAAGACATTGCAAGGAAAGGAGAGAAAACAAACCCTTTTACCTTCTCCTTCTCCTTCTCCTTCTCTCTTCTCAAACCTTGTTTTTCACTCTTCTATTCCATATCACCGTCTCCACACGCACCCACCACCACCCTCAAAGTTTCACTCCTCCCTCCTTCAAGGTGGTGCTGTGGTGGTGGTAGAGGAAATCAATAAGAGAGCTAGCTACGCTTGATTATTAGACCGGCTCCCATATAAATCAATGGAAACCTCCACAAGATTTCAAGAAATGAAAAACCCATCTCCGTTAAACTCTCCTCACAGCAATGGAAGCAACAATGGGGTCCAAATTCACACCCCACCACTCACTCCAATACCCATCTCCAGATCTGACACTAACCCTTACCCAACAACCTTTGTCCAAGCGGACACTTCTACTTTCAAACAAGTTGTCCAAATGCTCACTGGCTCAACAGAAACAGCAAAGCAAGCTTCCTCAAAAACAGCCCAAGATCCACCAACAACACCAACTCAAACTTCAAGAAACTACAACATCCCTCCTATCAAGAACATGCCCAAGAGACAACAAAACAGCTTCAAACTTTATGAAAGAAGGAACAACAGCTTCAAAAACAGTCTCATGATCAACACTTTATTGCCTAGTTTTGCAAATACTAGTAACCCTTCACCAGTTACTGGGTTTTCACCAAGAAACAAGCCAGAGATCTTGTCTCCAAGCTTGCTTGACTTCCCTAAACTTACACTTAGCCCTGTAACTCCATTAACCGAAGACCCTTTTAACAAGAGCTCACCTTCTTTAGGGAATTCATCATCAGAAGAAGAGAGAGCAATAGCAGAGAAAGGTTTTTACTTGCATCCATCACCTATATCTACTCCAAGAGATTCAGAGCCTCAGTTGTTGTCACTTTTTCCTGTAACCTCACCAAGAGTTTCAGGCTCTTCGTCTTGAATACTATTCAAGTCAAAAGGATTCATGATGGGTGATGGATGGTTTTTGAGGGAGAGGTAGAAATCTTTGTGTTCAATTGTACAATTTGATCTCTCTTTTCGTCATATATGGTAAAGTCTTTAATTAATTTCTTTAGCCATTTTTTTCTTTTTCCTTTTTTCAGCTTCTTTGGTGGATTATATTACCATTAGAGAAAATTATTTTGGTGAATTTCTTGCTTTTTTTTTTTTTTTTTTTTTGAGGATTATCAATTATCGACATGGTGAAATTAATTTGACTGTCTGCGCATTTATGTGTACATTGACTGATTTGCAATAATTTCTTAGAAACTATAGGGTTTTTTTTTTTTTTTTGAGGTCTCTCTCTCTCTCTCATTGACCCATGAATAGTAGATATGAAATTTAATTTTTACTAACTAAAAATAGAGTAAATATTTAAAATCTGCACTAAAATATTCAAGAGTAAAAGTAAGTCGTGTGCTCAATCATTGTAATAGCAGACTGTATAACAATGTTAGTGGAAATTAGTGCATTTGATGTTAAAAGGAAAATTTCAAAAAATCGATCAATTTGAAATTTTTGATACGTAATGCTTTATTCCTATTAGCTTAATAGTGTCAATTTCCCCTTTGGGATGTTAATTAAGTTCTCTGAGGAAGGTATTTTTGCCCCAAAATGGCCCCCACAAACTGGAAGTTTCAACAAGTTGATCACCACAGTTTTTGAACATCTATATCATTGACTTATGAAAGAAAAAAAAACCTAGTACAAGGGAGAGATTACAATTTATACAGTAGAAAAGCAATTTAGAGGGAGTGTGGGATCAGCATTCTGAACAGCTCAATAGCTCATATTATTTACCATTAATGTCATAAATACAGATGCTGCTGTTACTTCTTTAGTTTTTTTTTTTTTTTTTTTGCCTTTGGTCTTATGCATGCTCTTTTATAGGACACAGTAAATTCTGCCCTAGATCTTTTGGCCAGCTGAATCTACTTGATATAAGATATTCTTGCAGGCTGAGTACTGCTCAGATTCTTTGAGTACCCCATTTTCCTAGAGAACTGAGAGAAAATGAATTTAAGGCATCCTTAGATCGATGCACAATTTTTAAAGTGCGTGTAAGGAACAACAGAAATTGATAACCCATCTCAGTTTGCTTCTTTCAAGAAGGAAGTGAAGTCATTTTCCTTTGCTATAACTTTCACTTGCTATGCCATCATCCAATGCTATTTTTTCCTGCTTTATTTTCTTTTTAAATTTGTTTTGTGCTTAAGGTGTGGTCTTTTTTTGACTTAGATGAGACCTGCTATGATGGGGGGAAAAGCACAAGAAAGGTTAGAAAAAATAAATAAAGGGGAAAGAAAGAGTGGACTTTGCTATGATGTCGATGATTGAAAAAGAAGGAAAAGAGAGAGTATGAGCCGAACAACAAAAGAAAGCAGAGAAAATGTGAGGGACTTTCTTTTAAATTTTACTTTGTCATTCATTGTCTCTGTATGGACTTGGTTAGGGCATTATTTTGACAAAGAACTGCCGTGATCTTTTTGTACTGGTTTTGTTGCAAGTTGAGTAACTTTTTGGCACCTCCTTTGGGTCCATTTGCCTTCCCTGACACAGTTTCTGTGACTGTTCAACATAAATTCTTACTTGATCGTTATTTCCAACTCAAGATAGATGCAAATACTATACATCAGTTTGAAACTATGAAATGATTCCATTAACAAGTTAATTTGCAAAGTTTGGGAAAACCATACATCTACAGTGCCTCCAAATTTAGTACTACTACTTAAACAAAAGAAAAGGAGAAATCGCATTGGATATCCAAAATGTTTCTCCACAGGATTATCCTCTCAATGATTTTGTCTCTTAGGAGAACACACACACACATATATATATATAGCAGAATACTTTCATTCTCTCTTACCTATGATTGAATGGTGGATAAAGACTTCTGAGGAGCAACGTTAGGCCCACCAAGTGCAGATTTATACACAAGCTAAGCTGCTCACATCTCTTTGGAATGTAGTATCTATCTATTGGGTGCTGCTGTGCTGTGTGGTTATGTACAGTCGTTTTTTGGGCCACCACAGAATACTAAGTTATTCAAGGTATGGTTTGCGTTATAGTTCATAACCACAAAATAGTCTTAGTTGTGGTTGACCAAAGCATCCCCCTTGAACTCTTTGGCCAACCACAATTTTGCGCACCATCATATTTATCTGCATTTATGGTCCAAACACTGTTTTAATAGAGCTGCTGACTTTTGTGAGGCTTACAATGCTACAGTACCATACAACAAAATACATATCCATTAATGTATACGATTAATAAAATTTAATCCATTGGTCCATCTGAGAAGATTTCTGATGGTCGAATTAAAAATTAATCTTGAAAACGATAGAAATGTTGCAAGTGTGTGGCCACCATCTAGATTAATGAAGCATTCTTTGAATCCTTCAATAGGAAGTTGCGAGCACAACAGGAGGAATGACCTCAGCTCACATTTAGTGAGTGCTAAACTAATGATTTAAAGGGTCTGAATTTTTTCCCCATTGAAGATTAGTAAAAACTTCGAATTAGTCCTAATCCACTATAATGATATGATATTTGGCATTTACTAAAGGATCCATCATGTTTGCCAAGTGGTCAGAATAATATTATTATATGCTTTGATATCACTTTTAAAATATCTAACAAAGTGGTCACAATAATAATTAGATACAGAGCTAGGAATAAAGTGGGCACAACGAATGTCAACAAAGGGTTCTTTTTTTTTTTTTAATTGTTGATGATGATGGCGTTTTTCATATGCTAAAAAAAGTGAAAACAGGAGTCTAAATTTACTAAAATTGTCATTATAAAAAATCTCAATATTCACCTACACATGTTGGGATATAAGAAGAGTTGGAAGAGTTGTTATATTCTAAATTCTAATTCCATGGCCTCTAAATACATACATACCAGTGGGATCAAATGCTCAATGCAACCTCCATAAATTCTTAGTATATATATATATAATTCTGACCATCTAGGTGGATTTAAAGAGGTCGCAAACCAGGACAGAAGAAATTTCTACTTTGATTTATATAATAGGCTCAATAAAAAATTAAACCTTCTGTTGTGCTGTAATTTGTGTCGCATATAAACCAATGTTTCATTATTCGAATGGGGACTCAAGATAATTGATATATGCTACTAGCACTAGGCACTAGCTCCAAGGGACAAATTTTGTTTTGTTTTCCAACACAATCAAGCACTTCCTTCTCTTTTCTCTGTCCTTCCAGAATATAAACTTCAATTTGCAGCTATTCCCGCTTTCATTAATTAAATCTACTTGCCTCGTCATGCGGCTTAAATGTTAACAATCGAAATATGCAAAATCGAGCTGTATAGACGAAACCACCAACTTTTGGATTGATGCTGAGAATCCTAAAACAAGTCGAGCAAGACTAGTTACTGCTAGCTGCTTTGGTGAGGAGAGACACTATCTAAGCGACCCAAGCCGTTTTCCTTTGTTGAAACAAAATCAAATCACGCAAGACAAGTCCTTTAAAGGAAAAACAAACTGCAGTAAGGCGCAAACAGTGATGCTAAGCACTGAAAGGCCACAAAGGAAGCAGCCGCATTTCGTTCTAGAAACAAGAAAAGATTTTTATTTATGCATAAGTTGTGAACAATATATCATACATTTGCGACAACACTAGTTCATACCATCTTTCAGAATTCCAAGCCAAACTCCAACATTAGCGTGATAAAACGTTGTGTCATATCTGCTTTTAGGTTTCAGAGAAAGAGGTGATTGTCTTGAAACCATGATTCTCTGGAAGAGGAGCATTTCCTGGCCGGATAGAAATCATCACCTCCAAACCTGAATCAAACATTAAAATTCATATATCAATGCAAAAAATAACATGAATGATATTCTTTTTCAGAAGTACCAAAATCCAGAACTCAGTTTACAGAAAAAATATTTATTCCAACTTCAGAAACACTGTTGGAGATGAGTTAACTTCCAGACACCATTCCATACCACTTAGTACTAGAGTAAATTAGCTCATTGTGACAAGCAGTAAGTAACAAGAATGTGTTTTCTTTGCAAACCAGGACACCACATACAATTGAATCAGTTGTTCATCAGCCTTTTTTTTTTTTTTTTATTCATCACATTTAGCATTCCCTTTGTTAATTATGGTCAAAATTTTGGTGGTTATATTGCAGGCTGTGTTTTTTGGTTTACAAGGAGACTCAAACCCAAGTCTATTAGGGGATGGAGAGGGAAGTAATGCAAATTCAGCTACAGCTCATCAGCAGTGACAGGGTTGCTAATATTGGCTATTGGGAATTCAAATAAATATTAACCAAACCTGCGATAGTCCAGTGAAGTGCATTGATATATTTATGAGGGAAAGAAGAACGCATTCTCTCGTTCCTAATTCTCAAAACAAAGATTGTGACACAAAGAAAGGAAATCTATTGAACGTGCAGCGAAACTGGCACTAGGAGAAATCTATTGAACTGGTTAAGTAAATTGAACTTGTAGTGAAACTGTGCACTAGAAGGATTTTGCCCCCTTGAACCCTTACAGCACTTCATAAAATGGACAATTAAAAGCAACTTGTTACCTGCTGCTTTTGCAGCCACGGCTTCTTGAAAGACATCTGTCACAAATAAAATGTCAGATGGTTTATCAACTCCAACTGACTCTGAGATTTCAATATAACTGCGTGTTTCTTTTTTATTTCTGCAAGAAACATAGTGGCAAGTGTTACAGAAGTTCAAATTTAGTGGCATGGGAAGTTGGGCAGCATCTATAAAACTTACCCCACTGTGGTGTCAAAGAATCCAGACAAATATTTTCTCAAGTCTCCATAGTTCGTCTTTCCAAATATAAGTCTTTGTGCCAACCTGCTTCCACTAGAATATATATACACCTGAAGCAACATAGAAACAGTAAATAATGGCACAAAAAGAATATACAAAGTCAAGAAATAGAAAGCCTTTTGAGTCACAATCAATCAGTTCAGGGAACTAGGTTATTGGATTTCAAGGACTATTCCTTCTGGTGCATTAACAATGGATCTCAAGCTCTTCAGTGCCACTAACAACTATTATTCATTTATTCCAACTTCCTCATTCATGTATCTCTAATCTTGAGTGTGCTTTCCATCCCCTGTCTTCTGATTTTTACATACAGTATCATATCCATTATAGCTATTCTTATAAGGAACCTATATTTGACTAATAGAATGTTCACAACACTTTTTTACAATTTGATTAAACATCTAATACTTCCAAGAAGCCATAGTCTTGAAACATAACTTCAGAATTACATATCACTAGGGACCATTTACTAATTAGAAATATTTGGCATCGGCACTAACATCCTCTTCTGCATATAACAGTAGCATAGTTCACAGTAAAGGAGTATTTCAGGATAAAGATGGGTGACAAATTAGTATGTGATCTGTTGAAATTACTGTTTGAATCATTCAAGGAGAATTTGCCTTGATGGGTGATTCAGCTACATTAATAGTTGGAAACCAAACCGCAGTTATGACATTACATGCTACTACAAAGAAAAACTAAATCGTATAAATGTTAAAAAAATTGAAACATGAAGAACCTTTATGCCCAAAGCATGCCACTTCTCCAATGCTTCTGGAACATCATCATACACTACTCCTTCCAGTTCATTATTCTCATACCCAGTTCTCCAAATATGACCCTGCATCAATAAATCTTCGTAATATCACTGAAGTACACTTTATATCAAGCATATCTGCCTCATGTTTACCAGCTTTATGTTTCTGAATACTTACTTGCAATTGTTTTAATGCAGTGATCTTTCGATCTGCTTTTATCATTGCTTCCACGTTAGCAACCAAAGCTGCAATTACCTCCTCTTTCCCAGCATCATCTGTTGGAATAGGAATAGCACCACCAACACCTTGTGCCAAGTCATCTTCAACCTGCAAAAACAGATTTAACAGCACATAACATATTTTCAAAGTCCCTGAACTACTAAACTCATAAACTAAGGGCAACAATCAACTCCTTCAGCAAAAATTCCTCCAAGAACTGTTAAAGCCTGGTCATTCAATTCCACATTATGCCATTTTGAGTTGACTGGTTAAAGGAAAAATAGAAGCATTGTACGGGAGCATTTCATCAGCCCATTGATTACATCACAATCCCATGCTACAAGTTAGGATACGCGTCCCAACATCTGTTTATCCATTTTCTAAGATTTGCAATCCTTCAACAGCGTAACTGCAGTTTTTCTGGCACATCCAAAAATTTCAGGGCATCTATTGTGATTATGCTCCTACCATGTCCTTGTGCAATATAGAAAGAGTCGCCATCTTTTTTCTCTAGTTCAACTTTTCGTGTTGTCTCTCTCTTTTTTTCTTCTTTTTTTTTTTTTTTTTTCCCACAACAATCATGAGACATTTGGCCATGGATGCTGGAAAGGAATAAGGAGAACATTAAATTTTCAAACTATTAGCAGCTAACTTCTTTACATGCTTCCCCTAAATGAATATCAAATCTTTATCATCATTGCACTCAAATTTCAAAAGATCAATGTTAGAATTCCACCAGTAGCATGCAATGGAAGGCAAAACCTATCTGGTACAACATGAATTGCTATCATACCAAAACTTCTAATAACAAATCTTACTTGCAAGCGCAACAACTTTATATCATCTTGAGTTTCTGCAGTCTCGTATGTTGCAGACAGATGCCTCCCAACATTATCACGGGCATATGGAAACAGAACATCAGCAACAAATGTTATTGGAGTAGTAGTTCCCTCAATGTCAAGAACAATGCAACGCTGCGACCAAATAATTTGAAGAATAAAGATGTTTATCTGATAAGACACAAATATTTGATACAAAAACTTGTAGATTTCAAACCGCAAGGGATCGGGACCAATATAAAACACAAGTTCTATTAAGCCAGTGCAACCCGCATCAAAATTAAAATGCAGAAATATCAGTAATGTTGAGGACATCGTTTGAATAACTTACTGGCAACAGTTCGATTCCATTATTTGACTTGTTTGTGCCTGCCTGAACCACCGCTTTTATGTTTCTATTACAGCCAAGAGCTCCTTTGACATTTTGAATTGGGCCATGGTTTGGAGTAGACCAATCTAGGCCCATTTGATGAAGTTTGATAGCAGCATCAAACAGATAGTGATAACATTCAGCCTGAAAGATTTGAGAACAATTTAAGTAAAGCTCCAAAAGGTAAATCAAAACATTCTGTAAGGAATTGAGGATGCATGGTTACATACATTCAGCTAGTTTTGGGCTCAAGCCATACAAATATAATATCTCTCACATATTATTTTATAATACTTATGATGGTATAACAACATAGAGGAGTAGAATATGTTGCATCACATCAAATAATATTTTGTCTTGAAGGTTTGAGACATCATTTAATATTGTGCTCATCATATCATGTCCACTACAAAATTCAAGGTATCAAAAAGATCAAATATGCAAGGCCAATCAAGAAAGAGAAATGGTAAGAAACCCCACAATAGTAGGTGATTACTGGAAAAAAGTCCCTCAAGCACATCAGTTATCATATGTGTAGGAGCTTTCTTCTAAATTTTGAAAAGGGGGAAATCCAAGCTGCTGTATATGCCGAGATTTCCCCTGCTCAGCAAAATAACACCAGTTTAGGGTTCCATCAACAAACTTCCTAACGTTTCTGCTATAATGCCTTACAGAAAATGATATAGCAACAACATGAGAGTCGGAGGGGAAATTGTTAAGGTTAGGTGCCCAATTCTACATCACACAGCTGATCTGCCGAGAAGTGCATTAATAGCAAAAACTAAACAAACCAATATCAAATGAGATGAGTTCCAGAAACAATTGCAGGTATCACTGCAATACTAGCAGCTTATGCTATTCCTTTGTTAACTTTGCTCTTCACTATCACCACTAGAAGGAAATTATCATGACTCAAAGATTATGAATTTGAGATTTAGTTCATATTTACAACATCTGATGACGTAAATTTTATGATTGATCAGGCGTTTATCACTAAAATTTACAATCATGATCACGTATCTGCATATTTAAGCAAATAGCAGGCACTAAATAACAGAACAATCAAATAAAATCTTTAAATAAAATTAATGAATTTTCTGTGCAGGCACCAACTTCATTCAATACCAGCACAAACCTGGGTTTTGGCGCTGATCCATGAGTCTCCCCATATATATATACCATGGTTGCGAACAAGCACAGCTGTTGTTTTTGGGTATGCTTCAATCTGAAAAACATGAATGTGTTTTAAGTACTTTACAGCATATCCCACTGAATAAACAAAAGAGCTGGAGATCTTGGAAAAAAAATTCTCAAAGAAGTCATTCATTTTCCAGAACCTGTAGTAAAGACATGTTCTAATTGGCAAGTGTTGCTTATGCTGCTCATCAGTATGACAGTGAGCTACTAATGTATAATTGTCAAAAGATTACTGAAACAATCATCCATCAGCAGAGCTAATCAAGCAAGATGGCATAAGGAAACAAGTAGGATTTTCTCCTTTCTACAAATATTACATGATGTGACAATAGATCTACACATAGTTAAGTCCCATTCAAAAGAAATATTTGATTATTTTCTCCCACAGTATAATTGTGTTCCACAGATAAGCATAGAAAGTCAAATGTTAGAAACCAAGCTACAAATTGTAGATTCTGACATATTAAAGAACATACAGCTTTAGCAAGAGAATCTGTAAGCTCATTTTCATAGGCTGTGTTCTCTATTATTGGGACAACAAGTTCATCATAGTAGCCATGCCCTTGAATTCCTTTTATCATCTCCATATGAGTGACCTGTAAATGTACAAAAAATTCAGAAGCAAATCAAAGGATGCATTGAGAAATGAATGGTAGGTGAAAAACAAAGTATATGTGATGTTGTGTGCTATGTTCAGTGATGCATGATGACAAGATCTGGCTTTCCAGGATGCATGAATAACCAATCACGATACAAACCCTCTTTTGACAACTTAATACAGATAATAGCTGATAATCTGAGATGACAATACTGACACATCTTTCGTTAATATTGCAAAACCCACCATCTTGAATTCTGAGAGATGGCTATTATCAATGAAGAAGAAATTTATTTGGTTAACTTACCATAATCAATTAAAATAACCTAATGCTACAATATGGCAATTGTTTCAAAAAATTATGAAAAATGATTACCCACATTGATCAACTTGGTTGAACTTGTAAGGCTTTCAGCCCCCTACCCATTTGCTTATACCCCATTTTAGAATTATTGAGATATGAGATTAAACAGAAAGTAATAAGAAATATCTGGACAATTTCATATGGTCTGCTTTTTTATGCATTTCTGAACTTCCACCAACACCCCTACCATAAACTTGAATTCCAATTACAAATAAAAAGCCATCTCAATAAAAAAAAATGATGGAATTTTCATTCACTGACAGGATCATGCTTGGCTATTGCCATCATTTCGTATGGTCAGGATGGCATCTCAGATTGGAAAACACTCATTCATTTAACAGATATACGTTTCTTATCTGTGATCTGATACAAAATTGTTTGTTCACATCTAATCTGTATCCTCATGCTGTGGATCACTGATGATTCATTTTAGTTCCAGCACAAGCCAATATTTTCATCTAAGATAATGTCCTCAAATGTCATCTTTCCCCAGGTCTTAGAGAGCAAATGTTGTCTCCATGTGTACAATAAAAAAGATATTCTGTTTCTCCAATCAATCTTGAAAATATCGAGGAAGGGAGGCAGATTTCTTTTGGTGGGAAGGGGTATGAGAATTATGAAGATGTTACGTAAAAGAAACAACAGGTATACATTTGAAAACTCCAATCGCTTGTAAATTCAAAAGGGAAGACTTACACGGAACTCTTTTGATAACGGATTGATCATTGTTACAAGACAAGATTCTATCCCATGACTGTGAATGACAGCCCCTGCATTGCGCATGTCATATGCCTGCATTACGCCAGAGTAACTGTTAATTGTGACTCTATGAAGAAAGGCAACTTTCCATCTTATTAGGTTAATCCTCATATGAGATTACAAAGAACTGCAACTCCTAAAAAACACATGAAATCTGCCATTTCATTATTTTTTTCTCTATTTAAACAGTGACCAATCACTAAGTAACTATGGGTAACTAGAAAATAAATATACCATAGTAACTACCATCACAATTAAGAATTCAAATAACCATGCCATTTGCACTAATAAAGTTGAGAAATCAATGTACAACAAAACTTTATGCTTAGAGCACCAGAGCATCACTATATAGCAAACATTAAAACAATCCAATTAGCAACTCACTTTTTTATGATTACTGTGCAACACTGCACTGATAATAAACCATTTTTTTCAAATTTGAATGTTATTAATAACAGCTCAAACTCCATCTTTATGTGCTATCAAATGGAAGACCTAATCGAGTAACTGCAAAACAACAGAAAACCGATACCTTCAAGAAAAGAGGAGCACAGTCAGAACATTTGGGAGGCTTGTGTGGGTAAGGTTTCGGAGATGGCGAAGACAATAAAGAGCCATTTGTGGCTAAGATATACATGTCCTCTGGTTCCATTCTCTCCTTCTGCACTCCTGCCCAATTACAACAAATATTCAACTTTGCATCAATTAAATTCCCAGTAATCAATAAAAAGTCATAAAATACACAAAAAAATACAAATGACGCAAGTACTAAGGCCAAGAAAAAGCAAATAAAATTGATACAAACACACAAGAAATTAAGCACATACGCAGACAACTGAGCTTCAGTATCAAATAAACAACAATACCGAAGCAATAAAGCACAAGACAATCAAATTAAGCTGAAAAAACAACCCATAAACCAAAGCCACATAACCAGCCACAAACAATGACAAAACCAATCAAGAATCCATAAAAATACAAACTTTTATCACTTAAACCAACCCTTTTAAAAATAAACAGAAATGTCAAAAACTTAAATATTAGTATTACCAGAAGGGGACATAAGGATAAGCTGTTGGCGCTTAGGGATAGAGTCATCATGGGCCTTGATGGTGATGCTACCACCAGTTCCAGAAACCCATCCAAGGGTGTAAAATTGTTTGCAAAGATCAGCTATTAAAACCCTTGTGTCTTTAACTGCTTTGCTCTCTAAATAAGCCTGAGATGCCAGCTTTGCTGCTGCCATTCCTCCTCCGTTCACTGCCACTGCTGGTGGGGCTGCTGCCATTTCCTTGCTTTCTCTTTCTAGAGAGAATAAAAACAGAGATTCTAGAGAGAGAAAGACTGCTACTTTGTTTAGTTTTTCAGCTTGAAATGTGTTAAAAGAGTTTTTATCTTTTATGCTGTTTTTTGGTTAAGAGTGAGAGATGGAGAACGTGACTCTGGTGTTTAAGGTAAGTAAATTATTAATTGTTTTTTGCGGAAAAGTGATTGGGTTACTGTGTGTTGCCTCCATTTTGAAGTGTTGGGTTTTTATTGGACCACGTAGGGCTGTTCAAAAATGGTAATTCTTTATGACTACGTGTTTTTTTTTTTACTGTGACTACGTGGAATTTAGTGCTCTGTTTTGAAAAAATAAATTAGTAGTTGCTCTGCCTTGCTTTTGTTTGATTGACGCATGACATCATGCTATCTTTCTTCCAAAAAAGATGGTCCATTCTAATTTTTCGCACATTTTAAAACAATTATTGATTATTACGATATATCAATATTTTTTGTTTATAATTTTTTAAAATAGTAGTTATTAAATTTAATTATAAATCAATATTAATTTAAAGATATAATATATTCAAAATTAAGATGATAAATAAAAAAAATCATTAAGTTAATTGACTATCAAATTTATAATAATTATGAAAAATTATATAATAACAAAAATATTTTACTTTCAAAATCCCGACATGCAATAAATTTTTTAAAAAAATGAATATTTTTTATGTAACAAAAATAATTTAAGTCAAAGCTATTTGTATGTATAAATGAAGTATAAATAATATTGATTTTTTATTAACGAAGAACCAAAAAAGAAAAAAAGCAATTACAAGTATTTTTTAAAAAAATAAATTATTTAAAATTTTGACTACAAGTAAATATAATCTTTTTAGAACAGAAGAAATAATAACTCCATTATTTAGTTTTGACTACATTAGGGAGAAGAATTTAGCTAACAAAATAGTCTAGATTCAGTAAGTGTTTTCTTTATCTATTACGGGCAAATTTTGTAGGCTGCAAGTAAACATTTTTTTGTGGTTGCATGGGAAACAATCTAAACTAATGTATTAATAAGAAATTTCCACACAAATTTTTTTTATTGTATTCAAACTTGAGATGGGGAGCAATCTTATCATGTTTATTATCTAAACCAATACTTCAAAACAAAACAAAACATTAACTCAAGAAACTAATTGTATAAACCATTGAGTTTCAAACTTCACTCACACCAGCAATCTTCCTTTAATAGAAAGATTACAGATTTGCCGTCTGAAAATTTTGATCATGTATTACATGGAAATGTGTTAGTTCTAAGCTTCAAGCAACTGTAATTTTTTTTTTTTTAATCTAGATATCTCACGTCGAAAATAGGATTAATCTTGTTCGAAATTAGAGCGATAGGATTTAATCTCTCATAATAAATCCAATTCTAAAATTCGAATAATATACATTATTAGAAAAATTATCTTAAAAACTACTTTGTTTATCACCCAACCATACATCCAATTATAAATTATAAAGTTAACATGACTTTTAAGAATTATAATTGTTGTCATTCATGGTTTTGACTTTTGACCAGACTAGTACATTAATGTTAATGCATGGAGTTTGCTGTTGTTTATTTTTATTAATTAATCGGTATGCATCCCACCATTTTTTATATCCAAGTCCTATAACTTGAAAATCATTGCCTGTCAAAATATCACTAGCCCACATAAAAGAAACAAAAAAAAAAAAAAGGAATAGGAAGAAGAAAGCAGTCCACGTAAAGGCAAGGAAAATGGGCTAATTTAGCTCAAGTATTATAAATCAATTAATGTAAAAAAAATAGCCCACGAACTTTACCTATCCTATCCAATCCAAACCCAGTCCAAATTCAAATTAAACCCATCCTGTCCTGATGCTAGCCCAAGTGCACGCAGATGAGAAATATCGGATATATCCAAGCCGAAGCATACCAAAATTAAATCGTAACCATTTCAATTCAAGTTGATTTAGGTATAAGCGTAATGAGAGAGATCCGTTAGTCTTTTCTCATTGTCTTAGAATGATAGTGGTTAAGTGAAGATACGGTCAAATCTACCAATATAAATATATCAAAAGATTCGCATTTGTAACTTCTCATTTATCTAGTCAAGGTCAATTTTTCATTATTATTATACCATATTAGCGTTTATAAAAAAATTATTTATAATTTAAAGAGTAATTATCAATATTTATTTCATGATTATACTTTAAGAAAAGATATAAAAACAAAAAAAATTGAAAAAATCACATTTGAATCATAAAAAGCGATAAGGATATTTGTATTAAAAATTACTAGTTAAATACTATAAAATTTGTCATATATGTTAAGCAAAATATGAGAAATTCTAAATTATACATTTTTAAAAGAGACACGGCTTCTAAGTTTAACATTGAAAAAATTGGGTCGTATTTCTTTTCATATATTCGTTATAATATATATATAGGGAGGATGCTTCTAAGAAAAATAAATATAAGGAAAATAAGCCTAGATGGGAGTGGAGAGAGACAAATTGGAGGAAGAAAAGCAAACGCCCAGAGAAGCATGATTATAGTGATTTCTTATTTTCTTCCATCATTTTGCATCATTATGTTTTCATTAAAATATATATATATATATCTACATCTTCTATCACTTTCTTAAAGTGCGGAAATATATTGAATTTTTTATTTTTTTACAAAATTAAATCCAATTAAATTGTTTCCCTTGATTAGACTTCAATTTAATGATCATGGCATTCGAGTCTCTTGATTTTCTTGATTAGGAATTTCAATGCAACCTTAAGACTATAGTTAATAAAGGTTACGTGGCTCTTATGATTTATGACCGGTACGTTGGTCGTTCTCAATGATTCTTCATACTTATGTTGCCTATAAAATTAGTCTTTTTAGTAGATTGAGAGATCTTTCGATGATAAAATTAGTGATCGAAGAGAGGAGTAACCTAAATAGGCTTTCAATGTATCTCTTTGTATGTGAGTGAGATAATGAACAATATTATGTAGTGGATTGCAAGTATTAGAAATCTAGAATCTCTAGTGGTTAAGATTCTTATGTAGACAAGATTTATACCAAGTTGCTTAATGGAGAGGCATAATAGTCTATTTCTTAACTAGTGGCGAGTCTCTAATGTCAACTTGAGAGACCTATGCCTTTGATGTGACTTGTTCTCTTATGATGTCAATATTATCATATTGGTGTCAATTAGAGAAAGACAGCTTTAAAAGAATGTATTCATTAGATGTATATTTTTGTGCCGTGATAGTTGATGGAGCATGTCTTTCTTCATTCAAGATTGGCACCTAAGGTTGAAGGAGCAATGGTGCTTTGTTGAGGTATTAGTCGGTCCTTAATGTAATGATGGATCTCATTTTGAGATGTAATATGTTTGGGATGTCTTGAATGACACGTGTGATCCAAGGTCATTAGTACTCTCCCTAAGTCTTGTTAATCATGCTTGACTTAGATTGGTATAAGTCGAACATGCTTTTGGAGTACATCTTTATTATTCGGGATAGCGCAAGAGTCGTTTCCACTCACCTTATTTTCGTTGAAGTTGATAAAGGTGTGTATGTCATTTTGTAATACCCCGAATCCGTGAATAAATGAAATAATATATTTTAAATATGTATAAAAATTATTCTATGTGCATAGAACAATTGCTAGAGGGGTGATAGAATATTCCATGGTGAATATTGTACTAGCTTCTTTGTGCATAAATAGTGCATTTTATGCAAAATATTTATTTTAAGTATCTAAATAAGTGCATAAAAAATATATAATTGATGAATAAATTACTATAGAAAATGCATGAATTTATTGTGAAAAGAAATTATTTTTCGAAGTTCATAGAATAAATTATGCACATAGGGATTTAATTGCATAAGAATTAGGAACCTAATTGCATAAAATTAAAAATTTTGGCCCTCAAATAAATTTGAAAGTAAATTTTAGGGGGCATAAAAATATTTGGAAAGCCTAAGAGAAGGACCTAAAATAGTCAATTAAAAATTTAAAGGACTAAAATGTAGGGACTAGAATAAAATAATATGACAAATTGAGAGACCAAAATAAATATTTTTGGCTAAGATTTTTCTTCTCCGGCCAGCCACTTCACATCCCTCCTTAAATGAGTGTGATTATGCAATTTAAGAAATGGATGGCTAGGATTAAAGTAAGGATGGGTGAATATTAAAAGAAAAATCAATGGTGGAGATGGAAACAAATGGAGGGTTAGGATTAGAGTCAAACCAAGGCAAAGTCCATTCTTTTAGCCTATAAATTCAGCTTGTAGAAGAAGGGAAAAAATGGAGGAAAATTAGAAAAATTAGGCCAAACTCTTGTCAAAAAATTACTAAAATCATAAGAACTAATAAACCAAGACATTAAACATATCCTAAATCACTTCATCAAGCTTAGAATCATAATTGGAAGATCAAAAATAGCAAGGAGAAATTTTAGAAGGGAGGCCGAAATTTTGGAGGAGGAAGGGGGAAGGAAAGCTTGCAAAAAAAAAAAAAAAAATCAACTTGAAAAGAATTAATTGGAGCATTAAAAGTAAGTTAGTCTCACTACGTCACAAGAATTTAATTTTGGTATTGATTGGAATGATTTTTAATGGAAAGATGATGTATGTATATGTGTTTAAACGTGTTGATGTTGATGGAGAATGGAAGCTTTGATACATGAACATGTGATTTTTGTATTGAATTTAATATTGGTGAAGTGAATTGATAATGTTATGTAATTAATTTTATATGAATTGTTAGGTTTGCGGAATTCATTCAAGTTTGATTTAATAAATTGGATTAATTAGGGTTAGGGTTTTTGAGCATGTGAATTAGGGAAAATGATTTAAGTGTTGAAATTGATGATGAAATAGACCAATTAAGCATGCAAACAAGTAGTAAAAATGAAGAACTATCTAGCCTAATTCAAGGAAAAAGTTTTGGCTAAATGGAGAAATTTTAGGGTTTGTGGCATATTTGATTT